CATTTGGCTCCTCTACCTCTTGAGCACCAGAGAGTGAGAGCATTAGCATTGTAAGTAAACATTTCAATTTGATTATTTCAATTTAAAAATAATTTGGTGTAAAGTTTTATTTCCATGTGCCTTCGTGATTGACCAGAGACAGACAGGAAATATAACCTCCTTGGTGGAGGTAACAAAAAAAACCAGTCTACTTCAATCCAAGGAATAAGACTAAGGGATAATCTGGAGAGTGATGGTATAAGTGCCAGACCAATCTTTATGTTTAAGAGAATGATAAAAGTTGGTTTGTTAAACAAATATAAAACAGCATAATGTGTATTTATACAAATTGTTTGAGAATGATTTGATATTTTTATAACTACTGTTTGAATTTATTCTTGAGGAAAAAGGGGGCAGATACAAGATGTTTTTCTTCTTTCTGCTGCCTTTTATTTGATTTGTGACTTGTGTTTTTTCTTCTATTGCATATAGAATTTATTTTGTTTTTAATGAAAAGAAGGCAATCTTAAACATCAAAAAAATAAAAACTAAATAAAACATTTGAGCATTACACTGCATTTCCTTTTGTAGCCAAGGGTTCTAATTAGTCTCTTCAAGTTCTAGTCTACTGACGTCAAAGATACAAAAATGTTCAGACAATTTGTTCTGAATCAGGAATAAAAGCTTTGAATAGTTCAACACAGCGGTTACCTGGCTCATCTCCTGCAGGTATGGCCCGAAGTGGTCCCTGGTGATGTTGGGGAGGTAGAAGGAGGGCATTACCTCTGTCTCTGTGAAGTCCAGCCCCCATGTTTTGGTGAAAAAGTCAGACTCTCGTTTGGCAAGTCGTGGGTCATTCAGTGCAGCAGGGAGGTTGACCTTCGAACTGTACACGGTCCACCGGTCATGTTCTGACACCACAGATGGACCATTGCACAGGCCCCGCCCCTCACCTGCAAAGACACATGGAAACAAAGGAGATCACAGCCGTCTGAATGTTGTTTGTTATTGGGGATCAGAAAGGTTTGATGCTTTTTTTTACTTTTCATTACAAGTAAATTATAAATACATTCAAACACTGTCTCAATTCATGGGTTGCAACCGACGTAGGACGTAGCAGACGTGGGCCGTAGGCTGCTGCTGTCGGCTGCATAAACGGCTGTGAAATGAGACGATCTAGTCTACGGAAGTTGTATATTTACATGACCATGCGTTGCCTCGTTACCACGGTGATTTGTTTTATATCACATGCTTCAGTTGTTTTTTTCAAATTATAACTTCACAAAATTTACTTTTAATAGAAAAATGTTACAACTAAACTAACAAAAAGCCTTAATAATTTGGGTTTTACTCCAGTATCAGTAACTGTGCTTTATTTAACATCTCATTGCAACAAGTTTCTTTAACGAAGTTGTTTAACTTATACTCTTCGGTCCGTGATAAATTTTCAAACTCCGTCGAAAAGAAAAGAAAAGTTGTGAAAATGGTTGCGGTCGTTGCGTAGCCTCGTCTGACGTAATCACACGTTGCGTAGCCTCATCTGACATTATCACGTGTCCCGTAGCTTCATCTGATGTAATCACACGTTGCGTAGCCTCGTCTGACGTAATCACACGTTGCGTAGCCTCATCTGATGTAATCACACGTTGCGTAGCCTCGTCTGATGTAATCACGCGTTGCGTAGCCTTGTCTGACGTAATCACGCGTTGCGTAGCCTCGTCTGACGTAATCACGCATTGCGTAGCCTCGTCTGATGTAATCACGCGTTTCTGACGTAATCACACGTTTCGTAGCCTCGTTTATTCACATCAAACGGTTGAGAGGGATACTAGATGGAAACAGTTTAGATTCAAATTGTTATTTTTTAATATTTTGCTAATTTTGAAAAGTTTGATAGAAATTCACTCTACAACTGGATGGAAACACTATTAGTGACACTCTTCATTTCTGCTTTACCAGACGGGAGTGTGCATTAGAACGTGACATTTAAAAATGCATTTGTTGGATTTGTAATCAGAGTTATTAGTCAGAGGGTGAAGCATACAGACAGTGGGTGGACAGTGACTCAGCGTTTTGTTCTCACAGGCACTTCTGCCTGTTTGTGTCGCTGTGTGGGCTGGACTGCAGCTCCTACCAGTCTGAAACCCTGACGGGGAAATCTTTAGTGCATCATGAGAATGGCTCACAAAACTGACTCCAGTCATGAATCTTAAGGACTTGTAGCAGAATCACACACACACACACACACACACACACACACACACACACACACACACACACACA